TTTTCTTCTGAAATAAAGCAATTTTTGCTATTTTTAAACCAATTTTCCTTCCAGTTTCAATTACATTTTTTTCCACTAGTTTTTTTTTCTTCTCCAACATTCCTTCTTTTAGTTTCTTTTTATATTTTCTTTTTATTAAAACATTTGTTGAAGCTTCGGAGGTCAATGGAGTAGTTTTTCATTTCCTCACTAATATTTTCGGGATTAGGATTGGAATTTTTGTTTTTTTAAGTTTAACCCAAAAAGGTTGTCAAAACACTGTCATTTTAGTGATGATTTTAGTTATTTCTTTATTTTCTTAATTTAGATTTTCTCTTTTAACAATCTTACTTCTTCCTTTTTTGGTCAAATATTCTCTTTCTGATTGATTCTAAATAGTTTTTTCCTACGACCCTAAAAGTAAGTTTGTCCATCCTATTTTTTTTTTTAATTTTTACCTCCATCTGTCAAAATTATAATAAAATAGTATATTTTAGAAGTGTCTTCTTGAATCAAAGTATTTTAACACAATAATGGCTTGAATTAGAATTTTTGTCTAAAACAAAGCAATTTTTGCTATTTTCAATTGAATTTTGCCCGATTTTAAGACATAATTAATTCTAAATTAATGTATTTTATAAAAATAATTTCTTCAATCCCAATTGTAGGCTGAAATGAAGCAATTTGTGCTATTTCTAATCGATTTGGCTCAATTTTAAGCCGGAAATCAAAGTAATAATAGCTTGAAAAAGACTTTTCTTTCAAAATAACGCAATTTAACTATTTTCAAACTAATTTCGCTTTTAAAAAGATGTCCGACTTCGGCGTTTCGCTGCGACTACGGGGCTTGCATCACCGCCGACCTGGAATGCGACGGAAAACCCGACTGTCGCGACGGCTCCGACGAGAAAACCCCCAATTGCAAAATCATCGATGACACGTCCCCAAAATGCAAGTAAATTATTCCTGAAATTGTCCGAAACTTTTCAGAAACGCACGCGTTTCAGGAGCAATGAATTTCGATGCAGTTCAGGCGAATGCATCGATGAGGATAATAAATGCGACGGAATTGCACAATGTTCGGACCGTTCGGATGAAATAAAGGCAACTTGTTGGAATTTGAAGTGTCCGAATTACAGTTACAAGTGCAAATATGGGGCGTGTGTTAATGGGAACGCCCAGTGTAATGGGCAAATCGAGTGCCAGGATGGGTCCGATGAGGACCCCAATATTTGCAAAAACACCACCGTGGGGCCCGTCCCCACGCCGGCGCCGCCGCCAGCACCCCGGCCCGGGGCAAAGTAAGTATATTACTATTACTAATTATATAGGGTGACCCAGCAAATTGATAAAGTCCATTATTTACCGTTAAATATTAAATTTTTTTAAAAATTTCACACAATTGATTAAAAGTAATCTAGTACGTCGTCTGAAATTAGTTTCAATTATACAGCATGACCCAATAATAAGTTATAATACAAACTTGTGTTTTTTTAATGAAACATTAATTTTTTTTTTAATTTTTGAATTTAGCTTTTACTTTCAATATTTTTAAGTCAAATTTTTACTTAGTTGACGAAAACATGCTTTTTTAAAAATTTATTACACAAAAAGTTAAGACAGCAAGAAAAAACGTTTTTTTCTACTGTAAAAAAATGTAGAAGTTCGTTAAAAGTTTATATTATATTAAAAT